ATAGAAGAAAAGGTTCTCAGAAGGCTGGCTAAGCTAAGAATAGAAAGGAATGATAACAAAGGCTCTGTCCCAGACTCTCTGTCCAAGCCAGCTGGGCTTTGATTGGCCGTTAATTACAAACATTGAACATGGGCCAGTCCCAGATCCACCTGTTGCATTCCACAGCAGCAGATAATCAATGTTTACATTTTGTTCCTGAGGCCTCACAGCTTCTCAGGAGAAAAAATCCTAAGAAAGGATTTTTATGAAAAGATGTCTGTGACACCCAAGTGCTCCAAGCACCTCCTTTGTTCAGGAGAGGAGGCTGGAGCTCTGGATGTGGATTATTTAAAGGTGCCATGGAGTGAGGGAATGAGTGGGCAGCTGAGGGACTCCAGCACTGCCTGCTTGGACCAGAGTGAGGGACCTTCTCCCCACTCAATTTGTTGGAGGAGCACAGATTCAACAACTGTCAATGGCAACAATAATTTCTTCATGTCTGTGACCATGTTCACAGGGATCTGAGGATGAGGGAAGAGATGAGGATCTGACTCCATGTTTCAGAAGGCTTGATTTATTATTTTATGATATATATTACATTAAAACTATACTAAAAGAATAGAGGAAAGGATTTCATCAGAAGGCTAGCTAAGAATAGAACAGCAAAGAATGACAACAAAGGTTTGTGGCTCGGCTCTCTGGGTGAGCCAGCTGACTGTGATTGGCCATTAATTACAAACATCCAACATGGGCCAATCACAGATGCACCTGTTGCATTCCACAGCAGCAGATAATCAATGTTTACATTTTGTTCCTGAGGCCTCACAGCTTCTCAGGAGGAAAAATCCTAAAGAAAAGATTTTTCAGAAAATATCATAGCAATACATGTCCATTTCCCCAGGCTCCCTTGGGCTGGACAATAAAACTACAGCCCAGGAGTTCATTTCCATTAGTCCTGACACCCTCCCTCATTTTTCTCATGCCCTCCTGTGGTTTTTGGTGGGTAAATCTCTGTGTGTAGCAATTGTCCTGGTAATAGGCCCAGCTAACTCCCTATTTGCTGAGTTAGCTAGCATCTCAGGTAGCCCTGAGTTAGCAATTTCACAGTAATATGTGTACATTTTGAAGGCTAAGGTATCTTGATTCTTACAAAGCTGTGTTTTCACTTTCAATAATGTCTCATAAAATCCCTACATGTCTACCATGGATATGAAGCAAAGCATTAAAAATGTTCCAGGGTGAAAATATTTTAAAATATAGATGATAATAGAAGTTTGGTGTGGGATTTTTTTTCAAATTGGATATAAAAAATACTGAAACTAATACTACCTAGAGTGTTCCCTATTTTATACAGCTGAAGCTAGTATATGGTTTAATTTTAAAGATGGAGAGGAGGGTATTTTCTATCATCAGCACTATTTGGAAATGCCATTTGCACTCAGTTTCTGGTGTATTTCTTGTAATGCTTCCTGCCCAGCACAGATGTTTGTGAAGTCAGGAGGAAAAGCAGCATTGTGCTGCTCAGGTCTCTGTCAAGGCAGGTGTGCAAGTCACAGGGTGCAGGGGAGGCATGGGAAGGGGAAGTTTGAGGAAAATGTGCAGAGAAGTGAAAGCAAAGGCACTTTCAGGGTTTGGCTGTTGATATATTTGTTTGTATATCCAAATATTCACATAAATATATGTATAAAAAGGAAAACATATTGCATTATATGCCCAGCCTGACTTAAATTCAAATTAATGTCATTTGGGAAAAGTTTGCTGTTCTATACACAGTTCTAGTTTTTTAAAATTAAATTGTATCTGTTTCATGTTAGAAGAAAAAAAGAGGTTGAGACCAAATAAGAAACTTTCCTTAAATCTGTAGGTAAGAAATACAGGCTTAAGTTATTTTCAGCATTTTGAATTACATTCTGGCTGAGCTGAGGTCTCATGAACAAGGTCTTAGCTTTATCCCATTTGGAATGGATGAAATATTAAACCTCAGACAGGAGGGATTATCTTGAAAGCCTCAAGTCCCTGACAACAAATGTCCAAAGGAAGTGCTGCAGATCAGACAATGTTACTGGACAATGGGGTAACACTCAGGGGAGCTGCTGCCTTGTTCAGGTTCTGTGGTTCTTCTGGAAACCTCTCCAGCCTGAACCCCACTTTGGGGTGAGTCTTATCCTCCTTTTACTGACAAATTAACTTCTTTTTAATATTCAAACCCCTTGCTCTACATTAGAATTTGCAATCTTTTACAGACTCATTTCCACAGTACAGACCAGTTCTTCCCCATTACCACTCATTTTCATGTCAAGGAGGACTTTCTGCAGAGCTCCTTCCAGGAGGAAGGTAGGTGATTAAATACTCTTGCTTTTGCTGGTTTTTTCATAGTAAATTCTAGGCTTGCACTGACAAACCAATTAATTTCATTCTGCTACAAGTGCCCTGGAGAAAAAAAAAATAAAAAACCAAACAAGTGAACCTGGGGACAAAAAGAAAATAGATTGACGCCTGGCTGTTATAATTTAAAACTGGACAACTCTCTCAGGCACATGGTGTGAACCTTGGGGTTGTTCTGTGCAGAGCCAGGACTTTGGTGAGGGACTTGTGCTCTCAGCTTATAGCACAGCCAAGATTTCACTGTGCTGCACCATGATATGGGGAAAACATGAAGGGGTCAGGGACTGGCTCTCAACACCAACATCTCTCTCAGGTCATTGATGTCTGCATTGATATCTCCATCTACAGGAGCAGCATGACATCTATTTTGGGGTATTTCAAACTAACATCTATTTTGGGGTATTTCAAACTAACAAAAATCTCTTTTGGGGTGTTTCAAGCTCCCCATCCTCCTCATTGGTGCTGCTACAACTTTCTGCTGTAATTGCCTCATGCATCCAGCCCCTCCTCAGGGTTTGATGTGGGATCACTGGGGCAGCTTGTATGAAACACCATGTGTCCATTTGAGCACTGAATTTAAAAACTAATGGTGTCTCTCGAGGCACAGCAAGTCAGGCTACATGAATATTTATCTTTATTGCCCCCATCATGTTGGGAAAACTATTTTATTAGTAAGAAACTGCCTGTCACATGGGGAAAATACACTGCTTGCTTGAAGCTTGTACACAAAATCTATGTTTCTTCATGGAAAGTTGTACATTCCACTTGGATTTTTCTTAAAAATAAGACATCCTGGGTGAAAAAACTAAAGACTGATTATGTATAATAGCAGGTAACAGAGTAAAGTGGCAGTAAAAAACAAATCAAATATATTACTGCCAAGAAATTGGGTTGTAGGATATGACCCCTTAGATTTCTGGGTCCAGCTCTGCTGCTACATCTCCCTTGTGGCCTGAATAAATTAATTTCTCTCTGTGTGTGGGCTTTTTGCCTTTTACATTTTGTCCAAGTACTTAGATTGTATTAACCAGAACTAACCCTGAGGTTAGTAAACAAGGTTTAGCCTGCATTACAGCAAAGCAGCAGCTAAGCACAGATAAGACTGCATAAAAATACTGTATTTCTTGTGGGTTAGGAATAAGAATTCTAGCCTTTCTCTAGAAAAATCCAGAAGAAGGGGAAGAAAAAGGGCACAAGGAGTTGAAATATTTTATGCTATTGCAGATCATAGTGGATAATTATGATTAGAAATATACAAAACCAGTTAAACAAATTTCTTTTAAATGGATTGGTAAGGTTCCATATTTTATTAAAATGCTTTATGTACAAAAAGTGTATGCACTGCAGAAGAATCCCAAGTACTTGTGCTAAAAATACAACCAATAAGCAAAAAATCATCCATATAAAATAAGGGTGGTACAAATGTATTTATGCCTTTACAAAACCATTCAAGTTTATTTAATGCATATGATCTCTGGAGACTAGACTGAACATTCCCTTTAATGACAATAAATCATTCCAAAATCATCCAGCCCCTGATGGTGAAGGAGCTAAGAGGCCTGCCTTGCTCTATGGGGATTTTGTTAATGATTTAAATGTTCGACCAGAACAACTGCTCTATAGGGATTTGTGCCTTAACATAGCCTATTTAATGTTTAGCTAGAAGCTGCAAATATGCCACTAATGGGAAATTGTGATGCTGGCAGCAACAGGACACCTCTTCCATCAGAAGGATGCACAGCTTATAGGACCATGATATTTATCTCCAGAAAATAAAGGTTTATAAATTTAAAGAGGTGCAGGTGGAGCTAATAAGTGAAAATGTATATCACACTTCTCATGGAGAAGTAGGGCTTCAGGAATAAGCTGTTTTAAGATCAGCTCTCATGTGAAAACACTGGATGGCGGATTACCAAAATGGTATAGGTTTTTTTATTGTGAGTGTTTTGTTCTCAAGGTCCTTCTTACTCTTCAAACTTCATGAAATGACCTTGACAGATTGTCTCAGGTAGAAAGGTGTAGCTGGGTGTGTATTCTATTTACCGTCTGTTAGAGGTGGGGCAGTTATTTTCTGATAATTGGGCAGTTTCCTTTATCTCTTCCACAACCAATCCCCCATCCAGGAGAAATCTTCTGTTAATGGGCCAGTGAGTGTCACTGCATGGCTGATAAAATTACAGCACTCCATTGGGAGAAGCTCCGCCCAGGGGGAGGAGCCAAGCATTCCTACCTGGATATAATCTGTGACTTGGAACACAACAGGCCACCTTTTCCCACTGGATTCCCAGAGGAGCAGCTTTCTTCTCCACTGGATTCCCAGAGGAAGACCAGGCCCATCTACACCACCCCCAGACCTTCAGAGGAAAACTCCACCCTTCTACAGGATCACTGCTCCAACAGAACCACATCAGTCACTGCAGGAGGACTGCAGCCACCGTTTAATCAGACTGCTACCAACACCCTGACCAACAGGGTGTCAGATTGTATTCTGACTCTGTCAGTGGTTTGTTCTCTTTTTTTGTACTATTGCATTTGTATTTTTAATTTTCCTAGTAAAGAACTGTTATTCCTATTCCCATATCTTTGCCTGAGAGCCCCTTAAATTTCAAAATTATAATAATTTGGAGGGAGGGGGTTTATGTTTTCCATTTCAAGGAAGGCTCCTGCCTTCCTTAGCAGACACCTGTCTTTTCAGACCAAGACATTAAGAACATTCTCCAGAATGCAGCTTGCTGTCCCCTGTGGCCATCATCCTTCCATTCTGAATCTTGATAAGTTTCTCCTGGATCCCCTCTGTCATGGCACTGCTGTCAACCAAGAGCCAGAGAGGAAAGTAAAGCCCAAGAAGAACAAGTGATGCAAAGAAAAGCAGTCACTCACCACCCACCAACTGTAACACAATTGACGTTCCTTCAGAAGGCATAAACCATTTACAGCTCTTTTGAAATGCTTAATTTTAACTTCTTAATACTCAGCATGAGTTAGGAGCTTAATGTATGCTCAAGTAAAATCAGTTCAGGCTGTCACTGATCAGTAATACAAGTGACCAGTACAGAACTCTTGCATTAACTGCAAAGTTCTTTTTGTAATTGTCCTCTGGCAACCTCATTAGCAAATTCAGGCCACCTATCTAAGAGCTGGTAAGAAAGGGAAAATAGCTTGTTAAGTGGTTATTTAGGAAGTACATTTAGATAGATTGTTGAAAATTGACTGAATAAATCAAAAAGATGCTCTGAGAAATCTGACCACATTAAAAAAGCAATTTGCATGTATTCCACAGGTGTATTAACATGGATTATGTATTCAAGGGCTGTATATGCCATCAGGATTAGCAATGCAAAGAGAAGAGCTCCTTTTGAATTTACTTACTCCTGAAGGAGGCACTTTCCTCCTTTCATCACTCACTGTGGCACATTCTGTTCCTCTCTGCAGGGAGACAGCCTGAGAGGGAAAAGAACACCAGAAATCACAACAAACCAGGAGCATTGCTTTCCACTCCCTTCTGCCTGGCCCTGTGCTCTCCTCTCTCCAGTGCCATTACTTCCCATTCCTGAATCAGTGTTATTTTCCTTCCTCTCCCTCTCACTGGAAACTTCTGTTTGTTCCCAGTGTTTCTCCTGGAATGAAGTCCTACTAGTGACTGCCTATGCCCCACAATAAACATCTTTGGCGTCCTTCCCACTGGGTCAGCAATACCCACTGAAAGCCTCTGAGGCAAAAATTAGGAAAAGAGGCAAAGAGGGTTCTGTTCTGTGTCTGGAAAACCTTAAGAAATGGTCCTAAAATCCATCTCACTGTCCTGAGCAACCACACCACATCACAGGGAACTTTTCTGTGATACACCCTAAAATATCAGCCTAGACAACAGTGCATTTCTGAAGCTGGATGTTTAGTGGCTGGATGTTTAGTGGGGTCTGCAGACATATTTCAATACCAAAATTATTCTGTCTCCCAGTATTTTCCATTGATTTTTGAAACTAGGTGTTCAGAATGGACTTTATTAAAAACGCCTTGTTAATGGAAACACATTAAAAACAAGGAATTATTTAAAAATCCAACAAAGAAACCAAAAAGCCCACAAACACACACAAAAAACCAAATAAAAACACATTCCCAAGATTAAAATTACAAATATCCAATCCCTCTAAATAACCTTAAACTTAATTCTGCACAGGTGAGCAGGCACTGGCTCAAACTGACACCAGCAGTTTCTGTGTTCTGAGCAGTTCTGGATGTACAAAATATACAGGGCTGCTGATTCTTTACACATGTGTGTGTGTGTGTGTGTGTGTGTGTGTTTGTATGACTTGATATCCCTTGAAATTACCTTAAGACACCACTAACAAATGGGGAAAACAAAAACAAGAGTTGGATCTGCAGGTGAATGCAAGACCCCTCCTAAATCTGTGGCTGTTTTGGAACAAACCAATCCTTGAGCCCTGAAGTGTCAGACCAAGGGAAGTTAACTCTAATCTGCATTCTTCCTGGGTGAATGATATGTCCTCTAAAATAAACCTCAAGACATCATGCCAAAATGACCACACTCTTTTCCCTAAGTTTTGACAAACTGTGTCCAGCAAATATGTATAGATCCTGTAAGGCTCCTGATTTCTAAAATCAGTTTGTGACTCATGCAGACACTCACACCAGGCATGCACTAAAACAGAGCCATGCAGAACACAGCAGCAAAAAAGGCCTCCAAAAATACTCAGACCTCTGCCTTGGATATATTTATGTAGAAGCTGCAATGAGCAGGTTTTCTTGTGTGCTTTGATGTGCACAGTCCTCATGTACCAGCCAGCAGAAGAGGATTTTCTGGGGTTGTTTAAAGATGGTATTTTAGGGTAGAGATGTGTCAGATGACTGAAGCTGTACTCTGTGTCTCCGTAAGCCCTCTCAGACTTGTGAGTGAGGGCATTTCCCCCTCCATAAAACATTGAGAAACACCTTCTAGAAAATCCCTGGCTTCCTCTGTGCAATGGGAAGGAGACATTTCCCTTTGTAGAGCAAGACAGGGTGGTGACCACTATTATGGCCACGATCATATCTGACCCACACATTGCCAGTGAAACCAGAAGCAAGGTGAATGTATTTATAGCTCTGTCTTTATTCTCAGCCAATCACCTTTCTTTGTTTGCCCTTTGGTGGGGAGATCATTCAGCTCAAGAAATGCATCTGAATTTTATGAGCTTTCCTGGATATGTACCTTGGACTGAAATCAGCTTTCACTCCCCGGCGTTATTTATAGCACAGTCACAGTAAACAGTGGCTGCAAGTAGGATGGGGAAGGAAGGGAAACAACAGCACTAAAATACACAGCTCTGCTGACTCTGGGAAGGGGTTGGTGGCTCTCCTTTCTCTCCTTCTGACAGAGCATCCTGGCTTGGCCCCTCTCCTCTGCCACCACATTTTCCTGCTTCCCTTGGAATCTTTTGTCAGTCTGTTAGCAAGCAGCAACTACTTTGGGATGGTTTCTTCTCATTCTGTGCAATAGCCACCTGTCACAGCACAAGTAAAAGCTTTCTAATTCCCCAAACCTGCCAACTAACACTCTTGAGGCTTATTGAGCTGTGAGGGACCAGCTGTACCCACCTGCAAACAAGCAAAATGTCAGAGCTTTAGCTTGGCTTAGCTGCCTTCGACTCCCCAGCTTGAATGATCCTCCTCTGGACTCTGTTGTGCAAAACCATCCAGGGGAGGAGGAGAGAAATGCTGATATAGGAAACCAGGCTGAGGGCTGGCCCTGCAGGCACAGTCCCTGGCTGCAGGGATGTGCCAGATCTGCCCAGGTGACAGGAGGAGTGGGAAAAGTTTTCTGCTGCCTCCTGTGACCAAACGCGCCGCATGCAGGGCCAACAATTGACAGAACAGTGCAGGAAACTTTGGTGCACCCAGTCTGGGACACCTGGCTGAACCTTCCTGCCTATTGCCTCTCAAAAGTGATTTGGGAAAGGATGCAACACTTTTCATTGCAGCGTCTCACAGGATCATTTAGCCACTCTTCTCTCTTGCACAGTTTTTGTTCTTCTGCTTGTCAGCGTCCTCTCATTTCAAGTAAAGGCCATTAAGATGGAAAATGTGTTTGCTCTTTGCTCACAAAGAAACAAGAAAGGAAGATTTTAAAAAGTTCTATGGGCTTCAGAGGGAAAAAGTAATTTATTGTGGGATACAAAGGCAAGGGCAGAAATCCTGGCTGTTTTCTTGGAGTCCTGTATTCAACTGAAATTCATGGGATATAAAGATAACTCAATTACAAGTTATTTTGTCTAAAGACTTTGAAACAAAGGCAGGAAAACTCCACCTCCCATTTTTCACTGTAATTACAGTAATAAAGATGACCTTAGGTATTTTTTTAATGCACCTGCTATCCATACCTCTGCCCACTTGAAAGGCTTTAGTACATGATACACCCAAGATCAAAACCAAGTCACAGCCTTTATCTTCTCTTTCAAAAAAGGAGAAATTTGGGCTCAAGTCCATCTCTGCTTTACTCAGAGCCCTCATCATGGTACTTACAGTGTTACTCTAAACAGCCTCTCAGAGATCTGAGAGGCCATGTTTTCTAATGTTCCTGTGTCATTGCACAGCCTGTTGCCCCAGAGCTCAGATTCACTGGAATACAGCTGGCTGTGCCATTTTCCAAGCAAGATAATTCTTATCTGCTGACTTCCTGAGCAGTCACGTGCAAGTTCTGGTTTCTTCTCCAAATTTTCTGTAAAAAAATGAAGCTCTTACTGTGTCCAAAGGCCAAACTGGCTTCATCCATCTCAAAAATGTCACATGAGCCCTGCTATTCTGCCCTAAGTTCCCCTAAGTAGAGATGTATTCAAAATTCCAAAGGCTGTGTTTGGAAGATCTGTTCCATGTCTTTAATACACATTTCCATTTTCCTTATCCTAATAATCACCAAAATTTTAAAAGTACTCACTTAATATTCTCCTCCATATTTCTAACAGAGGCGATTACAAAACATCTACAGACGGAGGGGCTTGTTTGGGATACTGAGATAATTTCTAATACTATCTAAGTGGTTGGTACTTTCAACAGCACTTAACTGCTGTTAAGTCCATCCTCTTTTGACTCTCTGCAGCTAAAATATCCACTAAGCCTGATCCTGAATCTCTTGTGTGTTTTTTCCTACTCTTCTCACAAAAGTATCTGTCATTTCTGCCTAACTTACTGTTCCCTTCTTTTTTTATTAAAGCCCGTGTGGAAATAGCAGCAGTTGAATGAGCCAAACATGGATTTGAAAGTGGTGCTATAACACAAGAAAATTCAGCCCTCATTCAGCACCCTTTGCAACAATTTAAAGAAAAAGGGAAAGGAACTGTTATGCATTCAAAATGGATAATGAAATCTTGGGCTTCTCAGCATTACAGATTTTGACACAGAGTCAACTACTGGACCCTGTAAATTACCTGTGTTGGCTTTTCCTATCAATGTATAAATCACCACCTTCACACAGAATAAATCCGATAAATCCACAAAGAAGCACTTGAGTGACCTAAGTGCAATAATGCAAAAGATTTCCATTCACTCATACACTTTCTCATCAAAATGAGCATCATGGAGTTCAGCCTTTGGGAAACCTTATTACATAAATAAATTAATAAAATGAATTAAAGAAAATTAAGAGTGGAAGAGTGGAAAAGGTCAGCAAAAGAAAGGGGAAATCTTTACGCTGCTGGTATTTGCATCAAAGGTACTGCTGGTTTTCATGAAAACATACTCTGAAATGCTGGGAGTCATTCCCCACTGATAAATCCATTTTTTGCAGAGACATTCCCAAGAATTAGATCCTTTTTAATGCAGTGAAGTGTTTGATTTCAATGCCTTGCATTGGTAGGTGCAATGCCCAAAAGCAAATCAGTGAACACAGACAAATTACAAGGTTCATTTTAGGCTTCGGTTCCATGAGAGCACTGATTTGTTTGAAGTTAGCTCTGTGCTTATTGCTTTGTAACTTTGAATACTTTTTTCCTTCTTTTTGTACAAAATGTGCATGCTTTTCCTATCTAAATTCCTTACTGTTTGCTTGCAAAGTAGGTTTCCCTGCAGAAATGTTTTGGCCAATTCAAATCCAGGACATCTACACTTTCCTAACTTGATTGTCTCCTATACATGTGGCAGCCTTCTTTACTAGCTGTGTTTGTTGGTGGATTTTTTTTTTTTAATATCCTTCACAAGGGAAACATAATTCTGAGTCTGCTCATCTCCACAGAGATTTGCAATCAGCTCCCTGGTGTGCAGGCTCTGAGCAAGCAGTTCTGTTGGTGCTGACACGAGCAAAGAAAAATGTCCCAGGCTAACAGAGATATCACACATTGTTTGTGAGCTCCCTTCTGCATGTGTAGGTCAGCCCCATCCATCACTCCCATGGGTGACAGCAGCAGAAATAATTAAAGGAAGTCTTTCTAAGATGGAGTAAAGGTCCATATTTA